TAACAAAAAATTGACTCCTATTCTTTAAGGTTAGAACTCCTAGTAAACTGTATCAAAGACCTGTAGTTCAGTGGTTGTCGTTCGTTCATGGCTGTCATATTGTTTTTCGTAAATGGTTTCGTTGTAAATATTTTTTCTCGTTTGAATTGTTTCACATTTTTCATTATGGCGCCTTTTATAGCTGACAATATGGCATGTGTTTTACTCATTGCTGACGGTCGTATGGTTGCTTTACCATAATTACAAATGTATCATAGGAAATAGTACTGAATGCATAAAATCGTAATAAAGTATCTTTATTAAGTAATTGTTTTCCAGATTCAGCAAAATTAATATAACTGGCTGCTAATAGCGAGTTAGTAATCCAATATAACGCTTCTATTTATGTTAGAAGCAAAAACCTTTTTTTTTCAATTTGTTGTCTCTTTAAGGAACTGTATATATAAGATCTTCCATTTGTAGATGCGTTACGGTTAATTTACTAGTTTTGGCACATAAAATATTTCATACCGGATCATTCACCTGTTTTAAATTTCGTTGGATTTCATATAGTGTCAAATATGTACGTTCCGCTCAAATTGAAAGTAAGTACCTCTATTTCCGGCATCTATTGTTGTTACTGTCGTTCTAATACATCCTGTTTTTGCATCGCACCTTGAAAATTAAAATGAAAATCACAATGTCAAATGGTAGGCCATTTTTAAATTTAAACGATCAAAATTGGAAAATATTAAATTCATTTCTAATACACCCAAAATGAACGAGTTTCAATTCTGTATACTTACCTTACACCTTTTATTTGGCTAGGTATTATCATGGGCTAACAGTCCACCAGCTGAGGTATGGACCCAATGGCAGTACGAATAATTAACAGTACCAATTTCTCTGCTCAAATAAGCATTTCGACAATGAATATCTCTTTGTTGATGCTTGATGCTTGAAGTCAGAATTTTCAAAATTTAAAATTGTAATACACATTTTGAACAGCTGATACAACATAATAGGGCCATCAGGTTTTAACTACATAAAATTAAATCTACAACCTCTGCTTCGATGCAACTGTTGGTTGACGTGTGGTCCCCGAAGTAAACACTAGCCAGAAGTCTTTGCTTGAGTGCTGACATGATTTATGAAAAAAAAGGTTATATCTCATAGTTTACTGTATATAATAGTTAATTCTTCCATAAAAACGTTATGTTTTAACCTCTGATATTGATAGTATCAGCCAGTTTTTAGACAATAATTTGGACTCTTCGTTGGTTTCAATACTTTTTGGGACATGTATATACAGAATAGGGCAGAGGGAAACATGTTTTCGGGTGCTTAACACTCTCCTAACCCGGGACAGTGGTGTAACATTACAACACAGGAGCAAGCTTTAACATTCATTGGAAAAGGTCTTGACTCATCAGATCGATACAAAGCATAAAACACCTAAGAAACTAATAAAGGCCTGAAGTATCGAAATGAGAGTTATAACTGTTACGAAAGATAATTCAAAGCCAAAAACAAATACTAGTAATAAAAAATCCAAGTATCCATGACAAATTATCAGTCACATCTAATAAATTTAGATTACAGAGATCATTACCAAGCATGAACGAAACAAGGAACAAAATCCTAACTTATTGAAAGTACAAAATCCCAGTCTAGAAAAACATCCCATTGTGTGATGCGAAAATACAGTACTCCAGGATTTTAAAACCGTTAATGTTTAACTGTTTAACTATTCATATTTTGTTATGTTTTAATTTATTGATAATAAAATCAATGTAAGTACCTATACAAAGTATTTTAAATTTCTTATAACAATGTACAAACGATAACCTTTTAGTATCAGTGATTTCAAAGGATCGATAAGCTGACATGGATCGTATCTTAATTTACTGGCTATTGAAACAACAGTCGGGTGAAGTATGTAAGTAATGGTAGAATGAGTCGCTGGAAAAAGTCACTTCCATAAGTATTATCATAAATGATAAGGTCGAGCAATTAAGATCAAATATATAACACGGCTGCTGAGGAGTATTTGCAACTAATCAGGTGTCCATTTTACCACATATGTGATCAATAACGACAGTCTTACATGCATCAGATATTGGTGAAATCTACTTGTCTCACCATAAAATAGAGTAATCATTAAAGCTATATGTATATGTTGTGTAAAAAATATATATATGAACTGATATGTACTTGTGTAAATCACAAAAGGAGAAAACAGGTAGGGTGCCGGATATCTCGGCTGTTTACCTCTCCCACAAAAGGAGTGTACTGTCTCCCAACACTACAAAAATCAAAAAGTCTGAAAGTCTGAAAAGACCAATTTATGTCTGAATTTGCATGAATGCTTACTCATGTTACTCGACATTCTCTTTTTGTCTGAAATATTTTTGTAAATATTTTTGACAAAGTCTGAATGTGTCTTAAATAACTACCTAGATTCAAGAAATTGCTCTCGACTATCTGTATCATTACTTGATTTTACTCGACATATGTTTTGATAGTATCAACATTGTCAAAATAAAATTCGACAGTCTGAAAAGTGTCTTGATTAGTCTCCACCAATTCTCGACTGTCTTAAATTTGTCACGATAAGTTTTGACATATTTTTGACATTCTTAAATATGTCTGAATATGCCTCGATACATTCTTGACAGTCTTACGGATGTCTAAAGATGTCTTAACACATTCGTGATGGTCTTAAAGATGTCTTAATATGACTCGACACTATCTCGAGAGTATAAATTTCGTCTGAATTGTGTATCGACACATTCCTGACAGTTCAAACACTTTCCTTTGCTGTTTTATACTCATTTCTATTACCGCTAAAATAAACTTAGAAGAATAAGAATACAATAATACCTTGCTAATACCTTGCTAATTATAAAAAACACAACATTTTGTTACATTATGTGTTTATTTACGATGTTAACATTGAATATTATGCATTAAAAATGAAATATGTCTGCAGTATAATTAATTTCAATCATTTACCACGTATTTATGGTATTCATAAATCAACATTTATAATCATTTACAAACCCAGATTTAAATTGGATTACCCTATAATATTCATAGTTGTATTTGTTAATATTTACATACCCATATTTGTTATAATAAAAATATTTACATGCCCAATTTTGGTTTTTTGTTGTAATAAGTGTAATGTGAAATAAGAAAATATTCTATAAAGATAAAATAAAGCCAAAAATCATTCCTGTATATTGGTCATGATTAGTAAAGCTCAGAAATGTCAAGTAAATTTAAGGCACAATTCAAAATGTTCAAAATATGTCAAGCCATACTGAGAAAAAAAAAGAATGTCGATAACCTATAGAGAAATTTCAATAAAATATTTATATGTCGATAATTTGTCAAGACATTTTAAGACAGTATTCAGAATGTCGAGAATATGTCGAGTAAATTTCTACATTTGTTCATGCAAATCAAGACAGAAATTGGTAATTTCAGACTTTTGGACTTTTGTAGTGCAAGCGAAAAACAACATAAGGATGTATTATTCAGATAGAAATACAGCCAAACTTTCAAACATAATCTTTGATTTTTCTTTTTTTATGCAGAAACACTGAAATCAAGTTTTATATATTCTTTAATTAGGGTTAAAGATAGATATTTCACTACTGAAATTTTACAAGCAGTTAATAAATTAACAAAACAGGCATTATGATTGATCAAAATGTAAAATAACTGATTGATGAAACGTTTACGTATATTTGGTCACCAACAGTTTATCGACGTTTGAATCTAATGGATTTTTCAAGACTAATCAAGTTAACTAATAAAAACTAAGAGCAATGCATGAACTCCACAAACACACACTACGAATCCTTTTTCAGTTCAAATTTCGAAATCGGAAATATGCAGATTGGACGACTCAAAAAAAGTGACGTCACCATAGATAATGAGCTACAATTTTCATTCCGTAAGAAACAATATTTCGTCTAACTTTAAGTTAAGACAACAATAGTTTACTGCTGTTCGAATATTAAAAATCTTTTACAACAAATCAAGGTAACAAAAAATAATTAGGTAATCGCATGGATAATAAAAGGAGCTAGGCCGGTTGCATCTACAGGGTTAGCGTCCCCGTCTAAAGAAGCAAAGCGATTATTGTCGATGTTTGAATAACAATCTTGAAGTGGATAGGTTAATACCTTGGTTATGTTGGTAAAAATCGTCTTTCAAAAGGACGTTCTTTATATAAAAAATACTGTAGAATATCGTCATGAAGCTTTTGCTTAAAATGATAAGAAGAGTTCAGTTTGCTGTCAAATGATCAAACGCCTCTGCATCTTTTTTGGAAACCTCTTCACATGAAAACCCAAGAAACGTGTCATCCTTTTTGAAAAAAAAAAATAATGTATGTTTATAGGTAGATATTTAAAAATTGGACTACTTTAGATTATGTCATCATTTATTACTCATCAATATAAAACGTTATATTGATATAGCAGTGAAAAACAAGATCTACAAAAATGTTGCATGCTATGAGTAAGATTAAACTTAATTATACAAAATGTATCTACTCAAAGATGATAAACTATACATGTATCATTTGTTATCTAGATAATCATTAGTAGTGTTACACTGTATGAAAGAACATAAATGAAATGCAATCCGAGTAATCATCGTTATTTCATCATAAAGAATTTACTAATGTACCATGTTTATGCACCTTAAGGAAACCTATGACTTACCCATCTTTGAAGAACATTTCTTACTTCATGATAAAACGTGTTATTCCTACCTAAGAGGAAACGGATGAATCAATTCACATATTATACACCTTTCTAAATCACGATTGGACCTCTTGGTTTTGTGTATCCTTCGTATGAAGTTTCATTGGTGTGCATGTATAAAACACGACTCATTTACGATAACCATGCTACCTATATTACATCATGCACATATGGAAGTGATCTTAATTTCACTTGTTAAATATAAAAGGTTGTTTTAATAACTATCACCTCTTGCAATCATTCAAGCATTTGTAGCCGTACTTGTTCTCTTTGCATGGAAAACATAGTCCGTCCTGTAGGGAAACAGTTCCAATTATGCACTCTGAAATTAAGCCAAAATGATGTTTATCATTCAAATAAAAAACGATGACGATTGTCTATCAGCCAATTACCCCAGTATCTGCTCCCTTTATTTAAGTGTGAAAAATTGTTAAGATGCTTCTGAGGTATTTATTCTGTCGAACTTGACTTTTTGAGATGTTGATTATGCTTCAAACCAGTATGTTTATCTGCTTGTAGCGTGTGTAAGTTTTGGTTGATCCCGCCTTAAAATCAATACGTCTAACGCCTCAAAAGAATGGAAAAGGGAAATGCATTCCATGATTAAATTATATCACACAGACATATATGGGTGATTGTCCCGTCATGCCTTTACTTTTAAATAGAAAAATTCAGGTCAAGCAAGAACATTTTACGTGACAATTCAAAATCGACAATAAAAGATTTCAAACAATGAAACCGACATTGATAATAAAAAAGAATTAACTCGGCAGCCAATGTATAACATTAACAATTTTGGTCAAAAATCGATAAAAATGCTATATAATGACCACTTACGTGTACAAACATCATTGATATTTTCATAGTTATAACAACATACATCTTCACTGTAAAATAAAACGTTAATAAGAAAATATTTGTACAATTTTCTAAATCTATATATATGTTCTGAGTATTTACTATTTGTGCTCTGGAAATATTCAACGGAACAAGTAAAACAAAACTGCCATATTCCTTGCATGGTAAGGCATGTTCCGAAGTAAATGGAGGTTGAACCTGGTTTAATAGTTAGTTAGACCTCCAACTCGTATAACAGTTGTTTACAGTTCATACATTTCATAGAAAGCAAATTTATGTCTGGTTGTATGTCGGGGTATATACCATCGATTTTCCTAGAAACATTAAGTTTTTTTAATTTTATTTCCAATTTCTTTTTTTTTTATTCAACAATATATTGCACGCTGTTAACAATTCAATTCATTAGTCCAGCATTCTAGTGAAGGGTGCCCTTTTTTATCAGAAATCCATGATTACTCGCTGGTAATCATAATCATATTACATTACTTCTGAATTAAATCATAATATTTGATTTTCAATCATGAAATAAACACAGTCTTGCATCTAAGCCCTTCAGAGTGAAAATTTCATATCTTCTCTCAATTATAAAATGGTTAAGTAGAGATATAAATCTGTCATCCACTACTAATTAGGGGTCAGATAATATTACTTAAAAACAGATGTTTAAAACAAAGACTGAGTGTGTAGATTTTTGATAAACCCTCAAGTACAGAAATGATGAAGTAAATGGTAAATATTCTGATTTTGGTTTTTACATCTACACATGACCTCATCGGAATTAAAAAGAAGAAGCAAGGTTTTAAAAATACAATAGTTTTGAATAATGCATTATTTTTCGTAGGTGCTACACTTGCTTTTATATATAAGCACTGGACATTGATATCATCATGGTCATTGAATCTTAATTTTACTTTTACTTTTTTAATAATGATGGTTGTTACTAGAATACTTTGAGAGCTCAACCCCACCCTCAAATTGATTGATTGATTGTCAAAAATATGTTAGAAGAAAAAAAAGGAAAATAAAGAAAAAAAAACATCAGAAAAACAATTAGGTCTATCCTCATGTAGGGGAAAGACCATAATTAAATAGACACACTTATGGATCAGTGCTGTGTATTTACTATTAATTCATTTATGCAACAATTATCACTTGTAAATCAGGATAACAAAACATGTGGTTCCGTCAGCTTACAAATTTTAATTGGAGTGACAGTTTAATTTGAAATTATGGTGTTACCTATGTGATGCAGATGATAAGCCCAACATCATTTTGATGTGATTTCTGGGGCTTTAATGTACGACGGAACAAGTACATATATATGAAAATTCTTATTTATCGATATGTTTCATCTAGCTTGTTTGGTAAAAATAGTTTCCGGAAATAGTTCTAACTTTCTGTTATCAATTTACTAGTATCGTTTTGAAATCTCTTCCTGGTTAGGAAATCACACCAGATCTAATATTGATTTAAAATATGATTATGAGCTATTCAGATTGCAATAAACAATTAATTTCACCATAGGCGACAATGATAGCCTTTTAAAGATACAGACTTTAGAAAGTTGACTTTTTTTAACGAAACCTTGCTAGAATTAAAGAAAAATTATACGGTCAGTACTTTTTGGTCCAAAAAATATAGGTTCCCGTTGCTTTTCTTAACGTAATTTGTATTTATCTCCCTTGCCTATCAATTTTGCTCTTAAAAGCACGTGTCTCATCCTAGCGTCGAAAAGACATCTCAGTACCGTTAGGGCTAAGGAAAATAAGCTTTCATACAATTTTTTTTTAAAAGTCTTCTATATTCATAAGAATCAGACATCATTTGAATTAAAACACCTTATATATATTTAGTAAAATATATGTAAAATTACAATACGTTGTTAATATGTTTCCATGGAAGATAATTTAAAATCATTATTCTTTTGAATATAGAAGACTTTTCGAAAGAAAAAATGATTATCTCCTATGGAAACTTCCTTACAACGTATTGTAATTTCACATATATTTTACTGAATATAAGATGTTTAAATTCAAATGATGTCTGATCCTTATGAATATAGAAGACTGTTCAAAAGAAAAATTGTATGAAAGCTTAGTTTGGACATTTTTATAGCAATTCAAAATTACTACATATCACCTTTAGCATGACAATTACAACAATAAAATTTGTATAGAAATTGTTTAAAATCATTATAGTGGAATTAAAGTCTAATAGGATTGTAAGTATGCTTTTCTTAATCGCCTTGCACTTTCACGACTTCACTGTGGTTTTCTACAGCAGTTTGTTCAAATTTCTGATCAGTTGAACAGATTGGTTTTATAAAGCAAATTGCAATTTGGTCAGAATTTTGAATAAATTGCAATAATTGGAGAGCAACGCCTACAGTCATGTCACAGTAATGTAGTCAAAGTTAAACATTGTCTTCCATCAGTAAAAACCAACAGGTATTTCAATGTCATTCTGAATTAATATGTTATAAATTTTCCTGGTGTTCTAAATGTTCTATATTATTACAATTTTTATTAATATATATTACATAAGTTGTTTTACTTTGGTTTTCTTTGAATTTTTCTGTTGTAAAATCTTTAACCATTCCCTTCGAAAAGCTTTCTTTAATTGGCAAATTTCTGACATCCAGTTATTTTTTATTTTAAGCTTTTGTAAAATAAGATTTTCTTCTGTATTACCATTTTCATCAACAATGTCAATAACATAGATAATATTGCTATTCATCCACTTTTTGAATAAAAGGCATTTATTTTCTATTTTAATGAAATGAAATGATTTCCCCAAATAACTTCTTGACGAATAGATCTTAAGTTTTTTGACTGCTGTAGTTTTTTTTTTTTTTATTAATTATCCATGCTTTAACTATATTGAAATAAAATTCTGGAGGCTTCTTTAACCCTGGAAAAGAATCGATGTTATCAAAATTCATATGAAAGATAAGGAAATCCTTTCCAAACTTATTAAAATAAAATAATGGTATAATGTCCAAGATATTTAGATCACCAGTAATTAACCTTTTGATCCTGCCAATTTTGATAGATTCTATGTATTTATCTATGTTAATCATTTGTAAACCACCGTCTAGTTTTTCAAAGATTAGTACTGTGCGTTTAACCTTTTCTCTTTTGCTTTTCCATAAAACATTGTAATTATTTTTTTTTAATTTAACAATATATTCTTTTTTAATATGTGAAACAGATGCTAAAAAAGTAATATTTGGTATAATCAATGATTTGATAACTGTTATTTTGCCTACCATGGTTAAACGTCTTTTCTCACAATTCTTATTAATCTTTTCAAATTTTTCTATTTGCTTTTCAGCATAAGTGTTTCAATTTCAAATGTTTCTGTGAATAACGATTCTATGAAAAATCAATTGAATCAATCTATAGCTAAATAGAATAGAATTTTTGAACTGTTCAATGTTTATTTTGGAGTAAAGAATTCAAAAGCAAACAATACCAACTCGATTGTTGTAAACTAAATGACTGTTGACTAATATTCAAGTAGTTTTGAAAAGTTTGGTTTTGAATGAACCTAAGATGTAGTCTAGAATCTGTACTTATATGGAATCTATGTTTAAGCATGTCAGCATTAATCTTTTTATATTTATGCCTTGATATTTGGGACAAACTCGTGATGTATGGATAAAAACGATTGTCTCCCGGATCTCCATTGATAATTTTCCTTTTCCGCATTCTATGTGCAATGTTTGTATTTCGGTGAAAGGAAATAGTCCAGTTGCTACCTACTAAAGTGTCTGCCTTATGAACTTCGATTAGTCTGTACAATTCTTTTGTATCATGATGTTGTCTTAAAATTGTGGTTATTTGTCCAGTCGGCATTGTTATCTGGTTTTCAACGCAGATATATATATATATATTTTCAAATATTCAAACGTAGGTATAGATAAATCTTTAAAAGCTTTGCTTACATACGTTTATAACGGATTTGATATTGCGTAAGTTCTACAAATGATACCATTTCACAGATGACAGCGGACATGTTCCGAATATCGCAACTCCAATCCCGTCTTCTTTTCACGAATGTGACCTACCGAATTAGATCTATTAGCGGGTTTGTACTAACATGAGCAACATGACGGGTGCCACATGTGGAGCAGGATCTGCTTACCCTTCCTGACACCTGAGATCACCCCTAGTTTTTTTGTGGGATTTGTGTTTTCTATGTTGTGTTTTGTGTACTATTATTTGTCTGTTGGTCTTTTTCTTTTTAAGCCATGGCGTTGTCAGTTTGTTTTTGACTTGTGAGTTTGAATGTTCCATTTGTTATCTTTCGCCTCTCTTTTTTCTTTCTTTTATAAGCGCTGTTCTTTGTGCCTTTTAAATTTTCAATGTTTGTACCAGTCTCGTCTTTCCTTTGTATTGAACAATATCTCAATTTACAAATTTGGTCCAATTTCAGAGTTTTTGGTGATGTCTCAGGGGTAGATTAGAATCTATTACAAATCCGGTGATGCCTTATCACTTGATACAACTTATCAACTTATTTCATAGGAGCAACGACGGGTGTCACATGTGGAGAAGGATCTGCTTTCCTTTCCCTTCTATATACTAGGCATTAAGCCGGATAAAATAGTAACGGATATCGGTAATTTCGTTTATGGATTCCTTAGTTTCATATTTTCTGCTGTATGTTTTTATTAACTTAACATTCTGAGCATCTACACAATTATTCAAGACTCAAGTCAATTCATAGTTTGCAAGCAAAATGGAATCAATTTTTTTCAGGTAATACAGAAATGTACTAGCAATTTTTGGTTGAGTTAGTAGTATTTAACTAAACGTACTGAAAATAATAAATAATCATTCAATTAGTTGCTTGCGATTGTAGAAAACGTCTCTTTGAAAGCTTTCCAAGTATTTGCTATTTAGTGTATCTGATTTTTTTACACCGAAATGTTCTTTGCATTTTGAGAGGAGTTATAATGTTAAGCTGTTTACTCCATCACAAAAGCTGATCCACCCAAGTTATAAAGATGAACGAACGAAATCGACACTACATAAGTTTTACTGTCAATATCACAAATGGGTTGACCGATGTATTGGGTCGGTGTCTCAACCACCAAGCGAAATGTTGTTGTGCTCTTGGTTCTTTGGATACCAGTTAAGTAGTCTTATCTGTAATTTTACTACTGCAAATCCGCATGGATACGCTTACCCTGTCGACACACCAGGTATCTTTCTTGTTTCGAGTAGAGGCGATTCCCTCACTTTATGTTTGTTATCTTGGTTTGTCTCTTTCTAACATATTAACGAGATTTGAACATACGTCAACAACTGTCAACTTAATAGGACACAACGCCATATCGTTTTCTATTTACAAAAATATTTATATATATATCAAGGATATTGTTATTAGGAATATAATTATATATTTCCATTATAACACCTTTATAAGGAATCGATGTATTTTCTGTAAGGGTTGTTTTTCTTTTATTTAGCCAGACCAAAAATTTAAACACGACAGTTATGCTAGTTCCTCATTTTCAATTAATCAGTATCAGGACTTCAACTTGAATTGTGAATTTTTATTTTTCCTTCAAACTATTCAATTCCATCTAGTGTGTGACAAATGCTAGACTTTTGAGTAAGGTCTATTTATAGAAAAGTTTACATACCCTTTGTCCTTACTTTTACAAACTCCACCACTAAGTTGCAAAGAAAACTGGATTTTACTTAACACAATTAACATATTAACCAGAAACATAATATTCGTAATCGTTTTAGCCATACAACATCAATTGATAATCACAGAAAATGGAATAAAAACATCTTTGAAAACAATTCAATGATAAGGAAGAATTTAACTAGTGTGTCATATATAATATTAACATGACAAGTGGTACATAGCATCATATTTTAATAAAATATTTATGTATCACAAATCATTTGGTCAACAAATCGTAAAAGGACTTGTTATTTTTGTTTTTCTTTGCAATGCCCAGTTAGCTTACGTGATGTAGGATCATTGCTGAGAAAGTATATGTTCTCGTAGTCTCAATAATTTTGTAAATATATAAGAGATTAAAAGATTGAAATATGAATGTGTACGATGTGTTTTGTTATGATCGGGAAATGAATTGTACATAGTACATAATGTCTGAAAAAGTGTATAAATGTTTTAGAAATGCCTACGTACCACCTTTGGTTTTTTTAAGTTATCATTATCATTGTTATTTCAAACATAGACTGTGGGATGATTTGATTTGAACCACTAGAATAGTTAACACAAAAATGCATAATTAAGATGATAAAAAATATACATCATATGAAAATTTCGTGACGTGGGTTCTTTTTTTGCAATGTTCTCATTTTCATTTAAAAAACGATGGGCTTACAGAAACTCGACATATTCATATATCCTTGTGCTATGTTATAACGTAAGGACTAGTTAAACAATGTTAAATACAATATTTATAGTCGTACTATACTTTATATATAACATATTGTCAATCCATCGTGAGTGTTACCACTGAACGAATGTACACTGCATTTTTTTTTTTATTTATGCATTGCACTATTTAAACAATTAAACAGTTTATAATAAATATCTGCTAAACTGATATTATCCAATAAATTTTTTTCTCATCCCCAAAACCGCTTTCTGGCAAATCATTTCTAAATACCTCAGCGCATGTGGTCAAATCAGTATTAACAATGTTCACTAGATGATTGAACAAAAATGGCTGTGTTTGCACATAAACAACAACTCTGAATACATACAAACCTGTGCAGTTGGAAACGTTGTAAGGCCTTTCATCAACTAGATATATATATATATATATATATATATATATTTATACAAGTCTAAATTGAAAACAACGTTCAAACCTGCGTTGGATAAAAACCGCAATTTTTATACGTGTGCATGTAAAACAAATTTCTAGGTAGAGGGGTCTAAATACAGCACAAACAACATTTTCCATAAGACCAAAATAGTGAAAAAGTATATTTTAACAAAACGTATTTGACTAACAGGTCGAACAACGGAATGTTCTTAAACCCTGCTGACTGCCATTGGCGATTGCCAAAAAAATTGATCACCAGTACAAAATTGATCTTAATATTAATTAAATACCAAACAGAAAACAATAAACTTGTGGAAAAGATGTATATTCCTCCAACTCTTCCTCTATATTCCTCTATATTCATTTAACTAATATATATATATATATATTAGTTAAATGCATTTTGTGTTTCAGAGAGATAAAATCTGTTTTGGAATTGTATTGGATTTTTTTCCATCACTGTAGACGATAGTAAAATAAAAAGCAAATGAACTGCATTTGATACTGTCTACTAAGTACAAGTAACACCATTTAAATCACCTATTGTTATTGTTGTGTTGATGTCTTGTGTCTTTATATTGTCCATAGCAATCAAAACAATACAAAACAATTGTTACCTGAGAGAGGGGCTCTCAAAGATTTAACCCAAGTTAGTCTATTTCTACAAGAACAAAAAATATGGCCATCACAATATATGATACTTTGTACGCCAGAAACGTATTATGTTTATCCAAGGCTCTTCAGAGGCTTTTATAACTTAACAGAAAGATAAAAAGAGCTATCAGCTGGACATGTTTAACTGTTGCAAACTATGCAATACTGTGGACACTTGATCCTAAATAGAGTTCTAAGATATTTGGCTAACAACATGATGCAATAAACGGTACACTGTTATATTGCTAAATGAAAATTGAAAATAAGAATGAAAGTATTTTGTCTTTACTATTGTAAACGATCTTAAATAAACCGAAGTAAGAATTGAAATCCTGAATAAACTCATCATAAATACCAGGATTCGAATTTTGTACGCCAGACGCACGTTTCGTCTATAAAAAAACTTATCAGTGACGCTAATGTAAAAGAAAATAACAGACCTCATAAAGTACGAGATTGAAGAGCATTGAGGAACCAATCTCTGAAAGATTTTGTCAAGTACAGATAATGTAATCTATTCCTCGGTTAGAAAATCCTAAGTTCTTAACAAATTCAAAGTTTTCTAAACAGTTACTTTATTATTATGACCATATCAATGATAATTCATGTCAACACAGAAGTGCTGACTACTAGGCTGCTTATATCCTCAGGTAGGAAACCTCCACCAGCAGTGACATCTACCTGGTGGTTGTAAATAAACTAAGCATAGATAACAGAGTTAGAATTCGTACTCCAAACGCACGTTTCGTCTATAAAAGAATCATCAGTGACGCTCGATTAAAAAAAGTTGAAAGGCCAAATAAAGTAAGAGGTTGAAGAGTATTGAGGAACCAAATTTCCGATTTTTTTTTTCAAATACAGCTAAGGTAATAACTTGATCACTTAAGGCACTGGGTAGAAGCATTGGAATTTTGTTTAAATTACAAGACTGGTATGTGAAGTGGGTGATTTCGGTTTAAGTTTAATCTGATTTCACAACTCGCTTGCAGTTTTTTACTACCTTTCGTGATAGCAGCAACATGAAAATGCAATCAAATGACATTTAGAAGCCATTTTATATTATAAAAAATATTTATATATAAGATGTGGGTTCAATATGATGACTCTAAATCATATTAAGGCTAAAAAACAGAATTAACGATTAATTTAGAATAAACTTCAAAACACTTAAGCATGATAACCACATGTTCGTATCAATACGATATGATACTTAAAATATCAATGTTTCAATTAGAAACAGGCAAATAAAACATGTATCGCTTTACTCTGTGTGAAAAACATTCATGACTTGTGGCCTTTTGTGGCTTTCAATTACAAATTTCTGATAAAGTTGTATTATGTAATCTTAATTTGTCTATCACTTATTTCTTCGTGATAAATGCGCTCAAAGCGTATGATAAAATGCAACTTGAACATCTAAATAGACATTTTTAAGGTAGAAGGAATCCTATAAAACAAACTATATTTCAATGCGATATTGTTTTTATTCTATCAATTAATTAGTTCAAATATGCCTGTATCTCTTGATATTAGATGCTAACGTAGGTAATGATCCATGACCTGAACGATGTCAGTCTGGCGTAAACGCTTTGAAAGCTTCCAGTGCTTGTGCTGATTCCCCAAGACGCAGCACCAGCGAGATATGGAGTATTTCCAGAGTAGCATGTCATTGGACCACCACTATCACCCTATAATAAATAAAAAAACTCATTAAAAACCCTATAAGATATACATATTCAACACGTATGCATAAATGTCTAATTTTCATGTCAATCAAATGTTTAAGGTACTATAAATATATCTTCAATGTGACTCGAGGCCAATATATTTCAAATCCAAAACCCAATACAAAAGCAATAGACACCGAATATCATAATTCTAGTCGTTACAGCATTTTTTTCAAAACGAGACTTATGCAATTGAGGCTGTTTATGTCTTCAAAGAAAGCAAATTTTTGTCAGAAAAAAGGCATCTTATACAGCAGATTTGATCGGCTCTATAACTAGTCCAATGACACTCTTACATCCGACTTATTCCTTAATACATATTTCATAGATAGTGTATTAATCACCAAAACTAAAATAGCAAATCTTTCAGTAAAATATGACTTTTAACAGATTAAATTTTTCCTGTCAATCTTTTTTGTAGTGTATTGTGAATTTATTCAACATTTGGTTTATATCTCTGAACTTTATCTGTAAATGCTAATTCTATGGAGTGATTACGAGAGGTTAACTTAAAATAGTCGTCACTTGTGTTTGGATATACTGTTGTTATAGAGCTGGTGTTGCATACTTAGGTGACATCTTGGTAGGGTTAAGTCATTTGTTCGTTATTCCCCATGTTTTGTTGCGGACATCAGATGAAATCCTCGGTGAATAGCATTGTAATTTTTAACAACGAAATCCTGAATAAACTCATCATAAATACCAGGATTCGAATTTTGTACGCCAGACGCACGTTTCGTCTATAAAAAAACTTATCAGTGACGCTAATGTAAAAGAAAATAACAGACCTCATAAAGTACGAGATTGAAGAGCATTGAGGAACCAATCCCTGAAAGATTTTGTCAAGTACAGATAATGTAATCTATTCCTCGGTTAGAAAATCCTAAGTTCTTAACAAATTCAAAGTTTTCTAAACAGTTACTTTATTATTATGACCATATCAATGATAATTCATGTCAACACAGAAGTGCTGACTACTAGGCTGCTTATATCCTCAGGTAGGAAACCTCCACCAGCAGTGACATCTACCTGGTGGTTGTAAATAAACTAAGCATAGATAACAGAGTTAGAATTCGTACTCCAAACGCACGTTTCGTCTATAAAAGAATCATCAGTGACGCTCGATTAAAAAAAGTTGAAAGGCCAAATAAAGTAAGAGGTTGAAGAGTATTGAGGAACCAAATTTCCGATTTTTTTTTCAAATACAGCTAAGGTAATAACTTGATCACTTAAAGCACTGGGTAGAAGCATTGGAATTTTGTTTAAATTACAAGACTGGTATGTGAAGTGGGTGATTTCGGTTTAAGTATAATCTGATTTCACAACTCGCTTGCAGTTTTTTACTACCTTTCGTGATAGCAGCAACATGAAAATGCAATCAAATGACATTTAGAAGCCATTTTATATTATAAAAAATATTTATATATAAGATGTGGGTTCAATATGATGACTCTAAATCATATTAAGGCTAAAAAACAGAATTAACGATTAATTTAGAATAAACTTCAAAACACTTAAGCATGATAACCACATGTTCGTATCAATACGATATGAT